TGAATTTAGCTGCAATTGTTTAAAAATGGTATGATAAATTAAAGCATCTCTTCAGGAAAAAGGATTTAATTATTGTGTTGCATGCACCGCTTATGTGCTTACAGAGTCTCTTAGAATTGAAATTTACTTCGTTCAGCAGCCTGAAACCAAAGTAATAGTTGATCTATATGCTATTGTTCAGATTTGCCATATTTTTATGTTGGGTGAACTGGAAAAATGAAAGTCCTATTCTTAACATGAGCCTGTTTTGAGATGTTCGCACAGAGAAGCTCCTTAAGTTTGCATCTAGGCTTCAGCAAGAGAAAAGCATGTCGACAACCCCACAGAAAAAAAAGAAGTAGGGGAAGTCACTTCCTGCATACTTCAAGTCAACGCTTCAATTTAAAGTTAAAATAGGAATTTATGGCAATTGATAAAAACAAAAATCGGGATTCTTTTAAGTGTTTTTTTTCTGCGACTGAAATATGGTGACAGGTTAAACATCTTCAGCAAGTTTTGCTCTTATTGGCATTGGAATTGCAATTATGAATGTGTGTTGTTGAGAAGATATTTTATCTGCAGTTGAGCATTCATGCTTTTACTGTGTACATTATAAACATAGCATTTGAGAGTAAGTCCTCTTCCTTTTGTTTTCCTTATTTTTAAAGCAGGAATACCCAAGTTTTTTTCCTGGAGGGCACATCTCACTGGGGCCCACATGAAAGGAGTCTGCAAAGCAGTATTTTTTATGTTCAGTAGATGTAACATAATAGGTCTGTGTAACACATCGGGGTCCCAGAGGGTGGCTGACACACCCCCTGGTGGCTCCGTGACCATGCCTTGCACCGCCCCTAAGGTGCTCTACCCATCTCTCCTGCCACATCTTGATGGAAAATAAGTAGATAAAGGGAGGCTGCTCCCAGACCTTTGCTAGGCCTCAGTCCCTGGTCTTGGGCTCACTGGTATTAGCCTCTGTAATCTCAGGCCCCTGACTGATCCTCTGTAGTCTATGGTGCCCAGCTGGGCACCCAGAGCTTTATGGGCTAATTGTATGGCTCCATAACATCCCCTTACCATGCTCCATGCTTCGTGGATGTTACCAGTACAATGTCCCTTTGTTGGGGCCTCAGCTTCCTTGGCTTCTGCCCCTTCACTCTTGCTAGGCCTACCAGCCTAGGCCCACTCAGTAGGACCTGGCTTTGAGGTGCTAGATTCTCTTGTCCACTCTCAAGTTATTGAGCCCCTGGCTCCTGTATATAGGGCCCTGGCGCCTCTTTCTGCACCCCCTTGCTGGCACTGGGCCCCTGGCCCCTGTGTGGCTCACTTAGCACTCCGGCCCTGAGCCTGCCCCTGGCAGGGTCAAGGTGGTCAAGTGCCCCCCGGACACCAGTGAGGTCTCTACCTCCCCTACAGCCTCTTCCACAAACCAAGGGTGAACATAACATAAATACAAGCCCCCAGGCTATAACATAAATAATAACATGCAGCAACCTTCTGTCCCTTTAAGCATATAAGCCTCTGCTTAGCCCAGCGTCCTGGCTTCCCTGAGCAGAAGCTCCTCCTCTGGTGAAAGCCACAGAGAGACTGCCTGTGCTAGCCCCAGCCCTGGGCTTCAGTGCTCCCCTGGTGCTACCTGCATCGGACCACCTGACTGGCTGCAGGTGCTGGCCAATTACCACATTGGCCAGTCGCACTGGCAACCTGCAGCTGCGGCCCCCTGCCTGCCTGCAGAGCTCCCTTGTTAGGCTGCTTCCTCCTGCAAGTAACGGGCCCTGGGGCTCTCTGTTATGGTCTAACATATACACAGTTACGATAAGGAAAATCACAGGGCTACTGCTGATGTTTTTCAAGTCAGTTACTGCTGAGCAGGCAGTGCCCAGCCTCACTGGCCAACTGATTCCTCTGAAGGTAGGCACTATTAAAATGTCCTTTTGCAGGCTGGATACAGATGCTTTCATGGGCAGCACTTTAGGAAACCTGTTTTTAGAGCATGGATGGTCAGCCTGTAGCCTGGGTGCTACAAGTGGCACAGGCAGACTCTGTGTGTAGCACATGGCGGACTGGGGACGGGACAGGCAGTACAGCAGCAAATAGTACAGGGAGCAAAAAACAGAGCATCAGATCAGGCAGGGAACAGCTCAGCTTTGCATAAGGCAAAGGGATTGGAGTGGTACTTGGGGTATGGGGCTTATTTGTGGCACACCTGCCAAAAAGGCCCCCACTGTTTTAGAGAATGGTGGGAACCAAACTGTGAAGGATCTGGAAGCCTTTGTTCCATATTGTTTGCAGTCAGTTTTGCTGCACAGAGGCTGGTGACTGCACCTTTGTGACAGTTATGCACATTCTTATTGATATTTCCACCTTGGTTTCCTGGTTTCTTGAATGGAGGTAGATCGTCTTAGAGCTGTATCTGTATCTTGTTCTGTAACTTTATCCAGTCCTTTCCCATGTATGTGCATCTGGTGGGAAGCTATTTTTCCACTCTATCTACTATCTGCTTCATCCTCAAATATATACTGGAAGTACATGTCATGAAATTCACAGAAGATTATTTCTCATGCGACTTGTTCATGTTACACAGAAAAAATGGAGTTGAGAACTAGGACTTATGTGCGCATACGAAAAATATTGAGTGACTTCCTATAAAGGGGCTCAGGGCATATGCATGTACAAACTATTCTTAAAAAGCGTTCCTTTGTTTTTTCCTGTGCTTCTAGTTGGGCTGAAGCCAACATAGCTTACCCTTTGATATCAGTGATCAATGGAGAATTAAACAGTGAAGATATCCTTGGGAAAGTGGGTATGAAATTAACATTTCTTAGCAAACTGTTGCTGTCTAGTAGGGATGTGTGAAATGGGCCATATTCAATTTTGATTCAGATTTGGCCTGAACTGGGGACAGCAATTCAATTAGTTGATTGGGATCACTGTCCTGATTCGATTCGGCCGAATCCAAATCTGAAGATTCGATGCTGATTCAGAGAATCAGTGATTCAGCCATAGACACAACTTTAAATGTTTTTTCTACATACCTCAAAGTACCAAGTGTGGCTCGTGAACACTGCAGTGGTGGGGCAGATGGAGAGTCCCACAGGAGCATGGGGGCGCCCCCTGCATGCTCAGCGGCGAACCTGGAACTGGACCAGAAGTACTTCCAGTCCACTTCCGGGTCTGCCTCCGAGTGCGCGGGGGGGACCCCCCACACACCCCCGGCTTGGCGATCAGCCACGGGGGGGACCCCAGGTGCCCTCCCCAGACCCAGGAGGCACCAGTCGCCAAGCTGGCAGGGTGTGGGGGGTCTCCCTGGTGGACCCGGAAGAACTTCTGGTCCATTTCCAGGTCTAATGCCAAGCGCACTGGGGACCCCCCCCGCACTCCTGTGGGATGATCTGTCCACCCCAGCATCTCAGCATTCACAAGCCACCTGGTACCTTGAGGTATGTAGAAAAACATTTAAAGCTGGGTCTATGTCTGACTCTTCAAATCTCGCCAGATCGATTCGGAGGGTTCTGATTCAAGTCAAAGAAATTAAAGGATCTCCTGATTCTATTCAGATTTAGAGATTTGGCCACCAAATCGGGCTGAACCTCCACCAAATCAAATCGGCGACCAAAGCTTCACACAGCCCTGCTGTCTAGTACCCCAGGAGACCTCTCTAGGTTCTGGGTAGGGAGAGATTCCGTTTCCCCACCCATTCATATATTACTCTCTGGGAAGTAAAATGTTTATGTGCATGTATGTATATAAACACCTGCAACAGTTACAGTGGCTGCATCTACACGAGACACTGACTATGCAGTCATTACTGCACAGTCATTTAGTACTTGTATAAACAGTTATGGAGTTACTGCACAGTAGTGTTGCCAAACAGCTTTTTCATGACGCTGACTGCGCAGTAGCTTGTTACTACTGTGCAGTAGCATCGCATCACACTTCCTGCTGTGTGACCTTACTGCACAGTAGTAATGAGCTATTGCACAGTCAGCATCTCATGTAGATGTGGCCATTATCACAGTACCGTACGTATTGTCATGGGACTTTGGAAAATTCTTGCTCCTGCACAAATCTTAGTTAGGGAAACATAAATTCAGTCAGAGTTCGTGAATTCCAGCTTGCTGCTAGCTCTAAGTGAGAAGCTGACCTGCTAGGTGCTGCAGCTCTGTTTTCAGAGTTAGATCTGACTGAGTGTACTTGGAGTTCTTTGCTAGTAGCAGGCAGGGCTACTAGCAGAGGTTTGCCATGAAAATGGTTACTTCCCTTACATTTAAGAGTTTAAAGTTATTGGGGCAAAATAACAGATTTTGTCTTGCCTTTAATGTGAATTTGCAACTGGTATTTTTCTTAAGTGCTTGCTTGGACTGTGAAGTAGTAGTATCCAGCTGAAGGCCCACTGATGGTTCATACATCTCTGACTGCCCCTCCTCCTTTTATTTTGTCAGATTTTGAGGGGGGGCACTGAGGGACCTGATGATAAATTTAGAGGAATTTTGCCTAGGAAAATAACAAAGATTGGAAAAGGGATACATATAGAAACATAACAGTCTGTTAGTTTCTGATGTTTTTGTAGTGCTCTGTCTTGCTCAGGACTTTTCTATCCATGTATGGTATCCTATAAAGATTATGGGAGGGTGGGTCATTTCTACTGGAATAGGCACATGCTTTTCTGACATTAAAAGCTACACTGAAAACATGCTGAGGAAGAAAAATAATGTCTCCAATTCTAGAATCTGTCAAAATGAAGAAAAGAAAGCTAGGCCAGCTCCCTTTGGATTAAAAAAAAGTGTGTGTCAATGTCCCACCTTAGCAAGGTTTGAGAACTGAATAAAGGACCCTGCTGTAATAACTAGGGGTACAGAAAATCCTTTTCATATTCAGTGACAGGACTATGTTGAGGTCTGTGTTTCTGAGGAAAATTCTTGGTGATCGTTAATTATCAATTATTTTTTCTTAGCAGGGTTAAACAACTTGAAATAATTTTGTTATTGGCTAAACTAATATTTTTTGGTTAATTTTGTTTTTAGAACCTTGTGTTCAGTAGCCACTGTAAAGCAGTTACTGGCTTTTCAGACCACGTAATACATCGAAGGAGATCAGCTACCTCATGTGTACGGTGCTGTCAGGTCACTGAGCTGCCGTCCTTTCTGTGCATGGCCAGTCCACGGGTAAGTCCTGCAAAAGATATTACTGCAATAATGGAATGTATTCTTTTGAATAACTGCTTATGAAGCTGTTCACTTATGCAGAGAATCTTGTCTTTGGACATAAAATTATTTTGTGTACTTAAAGTGCATTCTGAAGTTCTGTCCCCACAAAGTTACAATTTCATCTACTGTTGCACGAAATTCAGAAATACATTGGTGTGTTTGACCTGGGAAAGTTATACAGCACTTGTTTGCAAACTGTTTTTGAGTCTCAGACCTCTTTAAGTTTTCTGTACAGCTGTGCACCCCATGATGCCATGGCATAAAGAATGAACAAAGTAACAACTATCACTGTAACTACACTGTAAGGTCTCCAGGAACCCTAGAAATATTCTGAAGTTGTTCATTGTTTCTTTTTCTTCCTTTTCCTCCATTTAGCTTCTTTCTTATTCCTGTCTTTCACATACTTTTTAGAACAGTGATTCTTAATCAAGGTGCTATAAAATACTTTAAAGCAGAGGTGGGCAAAATGCAGCCCATGGGCCACATGCGGCTCGCCAGGCCATTCTATCCAGCCTGCGGGACCCCTAAAAAATTTAGAAAATTAATATTTATCTGCCCTGGGCTGCCTGTCATGCGGCTCTTGATGGCTTGCCAAATCTCAGTAAGCGGCCCTCCATCCAAAATAATTGCCTGCCCCTGCTTTAAAGGATGCTATGAGATGCTGTGCAATGAGATGCTGTGCAAAAAAAGGACAGAGCATTTACAAGATAATCCCAGAAATTTCAAACAAGAATTCACAATGTCAAAAATATGCTAAGTTCTTTGCAACCGAAAAATTGCTGTATACTTTTCCATAGTAAAAAAGGGGAGCTGGCATTTTTCTGGGGTGCCTTAAGTCTTATGGGATTGAGAACCACTGCCCTAGAAATGTGCTGTGTAGCCCTGTTTGAAAAATACTGTCATACAGAACTGATAAGATAGTAACTAATGCAGTTCTATGGAAACCACTCCTGCTGTGTAGTTAAAGAAAATATTTTTTTTCTGTTCTAGGGGTAGAATTATCCATTAAATGGTTGGTTAAAAAATGTAGTAATGTGATACTTTGCTGTTAAATTCTCAAATACTTTTTTAAAAAAGGGAAGTGAGCATAGCATACATATTGAGGGGGAGGAAGGACAAAATTGTAGTAAGGCACAACCAACTGGAATTTGCAAAAGTAATGGTTGTTTCTTCCACCACTCTGTCCACTGTGAGCATTGAAAAACTATCTTTTTCTATTATAATGGTGTTTATCTGCTCCTTGGCATGTAACTTGCACCATGTATCACTTCTGATCTATAGTATTCTGTGCAGCTGTGATGTTTGTGTAATCGCTTACTTAAAGTCAAATCAATTATAGAGGCAAAATGTCTGGCCAGTAGCATGCTGTTCTTGCAGCATGTTTTGCCTCTTCCAGTAAGGTGTCTCTCTTTAAATTCTCTCGTAGTCTCCAACATTATAAAATATAGTGTAGCTGTACTTGTCAAGCAGACTATAAGCAAACTTTTAGGCTCAAAGTACTGGGCTATTTGAAGAGACTGGAGAGCCTTTTATCAAAAGCAATCTTTAGTGAGGAGGAGTGTGAGACCTGTTTGGTTGAGGGCCTATATGATGGTTCTTACTATTTTAGCCTGTACTTCAGTGTCCCAGTATTTAGAAATTTCTCTTTCTGGCATTTCCAAACACTTCTGAAGGGTAAGTGGCACTGGCCAGACAGGTTTCCAATACCAGTTGCCTTATTAAGCAGCATTTTTAAATTATGTGTAACACTCCTTGTCTTATGAAACTCCTGTTCCTCATTGTTTTGTTTTCTGATGTTGTATTCTCTTAGTTTTTGCTGCTTTCCTTTTTATTCATACTTGTCCTCATCTTACCTAACTGCAATAAACATGATGGGACTCTGGGGACCCCAGTGAGAAGCTGTTTCCTTTTTGTCAGTTTGAAAACACATGGACACTTATCTTTCTTCCCCATCCTCCTCTAACATATACCTTTCTCTGTAATATATGCAGTATATTTCTCAATGAAAGTTATTTATGGAGACTGCTCATCCAGAATGTTATAGAGACTGAATTTAGCAAATATTCTTGTATACATTGCATCCCATATGAATGTGTGGTTTTTCTTTAAATCAGAGACTTTGCCCCTCCTTATAATACTGTAGGAAACCCATTTTTACTAGACTTTGATTGCAGCACCCTAGGGATACAATTGTCTTGCTTCTGAATTCACAGCTCTGTAAGTATAACTTTTTTGTAATAGGAAGCTTCATGCACAGTGCTTTTTTAATACAAGCTGAACCCTTGAGTCCTGGTTTTCCCAGTTGCCTGGATGACCTACAGTTTTTGGGAAACAGCAGAAAGTGGGAAAAGTGGTGGTGTTTGTTCAACTACATGCGTTATGCTAGGCCTCATAGCACAGTGATGGGCCATGGTATAAAGGTAATTGTGCTGTAGAGGTCTGATCTGAGCATATTCTACAGTGCCCTTAAAATTGATGGAAAGTGAGGGTGCTCAGCCCCAAGCACACAACTCACAGCCAATGTCCAAAATCACTCCCTTAGGTTGTCATGTTTCCTGACTTGAACTTAATAATCACCATGACTGATAGAGACTTGGGGGTCTCAAATGACCACAAGATGAACGTGAGCCACCAATGCGATGCCATAATGAGCAAAGCAAACGAAACTCTGGCATGCATCCACCAATGCATCTCAAACAAAACCAATTATGTTATCCTCCCATTTTACATGATCGTAATGAGGCCACAGCTGGATTACTGTGTCCAGTTTTGGGCCCCCCACTTCAGGTGGGACGTGGATAAGCTTGAGAGTGTCCAAGGGAGAGCCACCCGCAAGATCAAAGGCCAAGAGAGCAAGCCTTACAAGGAGAGGCTGAGGGACATGGGACTCTTCAGCCTGGAGAAGAGAAGGCTCGGGGGGATTTGGTGGCAGCCTATAAGTGTGTAAGGTTGTACGTCAGGATCTGGGAGAACAGTTGTTCACCAAGGCTCCCCAAGGGATAACACGGTCTAATGGCCACAAACTTCTGAAAGGTCGATTTGGACTAGACATAAGGAAAAACTTCTTTATAGGCTGAGTGTCCAGGGTCTGGAACAGACTCCACCTAGAGGTGGTGCATTCACCTACTCTGGACTCATTCAAAAAGCATTTGGATGCTTATCTTGCTGGGATCATTTGACTCCCCAGAAGACTTCCTGCCTTTGGCAGGGGGGCTGGACTTTGATGATTTCGCAAGGTCCCTTCCAGCCCCTTATGTCTATGAAATCATCCTCTACTTAAGGGGTCATATCTGGGCCAAAAAGCTCTAATTCTGCCCATATTTTACTAACAGCAGGCTGATCCCCTCCTGCTGTTCAGAGCGCTGTTCCCTTCCCTCCCCTCTGCACACTGCACTATCAGTTTTCATCACTACTGAAATTTGCCCCTCCAAATTGTTGTTCACCGTGCTTTTTGGTGGTGTGTTTTTTCAGTGGAGGCTGCAGTAAGAGGAAAAGAGCAGGGATGGCTAGGGTTGCAGCAGGAATTTGGCAGCCTGTGGGAATAACCAGCTTGCAAAGAATAGCTTGCCATTATTAAAAAGGTTGCTGATGCCTGCTGTGCTTCACTGTGAGTAAAGAGTCGTACTTGGAGAATAAGAAACAGCCTAAGTGGGGCAAAACCCCAGATATGCAAGGAATAACTCATGTGGCATGCTTGACTTCTACTCCCTTTATCTTATGGTTCAATAAAATGTGAAATCTTTCACTCTTATGGGCAGTAATTACTTTTATGGCTATGAAAAGCCTTCACATATTATCCTGTATAGCTCCAGAAGTCCAGTCAACCACCTGTTCTTGTAGGGGGAAAAAAACACCCTAAACACAGTGGTGGCTGGCTGCAAAGGAGTTGGGAGTAAGGACATCTGCTTCCAGTTAGTCTGCACTTTCAAGCCTGATGTCTGCTTGGAAGCGATAGCAAGCTAATAAAACCCTTTCTGCTTGGGGAGAGGCAGCAATAGTAGTAAACGTATAGAGACAGGCTGGGAGCAGAAGTCCCTTATCATCAAGCTACCCAAATGTTCCACTTCTAATCTGTGTTTGTGTTATAGCTGGATTTACCACCAAGGTTGATTGAACCTGTAGGTGTGGGTACTTATGCACTGCTGCTTGCCGAAAGGAACATAGCAAATAAAACTCTGCACCCATGACCTGGGTTCTTCTCTTTGGCACCTTCTGGCATGAATTCATCTTGTCCCTTGATTCTGGGGCCAAGTGTCTGTCTAGATCAGAGGTTCACAATCTTTTTTTTTTTTTTATTGTGCACCCCTTCCAGATTTACCAGCTGCCCGCCTACCCCTGCTAGCATACATTTTATATTTTAGCCCCTTACATGCCAATTATTATAATGAAAATTAAATCTGCCCTTATACAATTTGTCCTGTATACCCCCCAGCGATGTCTTGTGTACCCCTAAGGGTATGCATACCACAGTTTGGGAGCCTCTGGTCTAGATCTTCCAGAGCAGTAGTGGCACATGCGTAAGTTCCATTATATCAGAGCTGTACAACTGGCAGCCTGTGGGCTGCGTTTGGCTTGCAAAAGGTTAATGTATGGTCCTTGGGCTCCCATCTGGCTGCTGTTCCACCCCATCACTTTAGCTGCAGCCCTTCAGGATTCCTCTCCCTTTTTCATCTTCCTTTTCTGCTCCTGCCCTAGGAGGTTTGGTGGTGTGGCACTGCACTGCACAGCACAGCCTTGGAGCTCATGGCACAGAGCAGCAGGGAAGCCCAGGACTGAGGAGCTGACAGTGAGGGGCCTCTACAGTGTGGTGTAGTGGGGCTTCCACGACCCATAGTGATGTGGTCTGTGTACAAAGCAACCTCAGCCAGCCCTGCATTAGACTGTTCAAAAATTGACAGTCAGCCAAAAAAATAGATGTGGATGAAATACAACTTTGCTTTAGTTCCATTTTATATCGT